CTAGTTTTAAAATTATGAATAGAGTTTGCTTTCACAACCTGCTCCTTAAGTACATTCTATTTTTCCACTACTCTCACGCTAAATCAATACTTTCTAACATCTTTGTTACGTGTGTGTGTGTGTGTGTGTGTGTGTGTGTGTGTGTGTGTGTGTGTGTGTGTGTGTGTGTGTGTGTGTGTGTGTGTGTGTGTGTGAGAGACTATTAGAGCAACTACTGACTTACTGCCCCAGGATTCAGCCCACAACAGCCGTCTAACTCCCAGGCACCTATTTACTGCCAGGTGAACAGGGACATAAGGTGAAATGAAGCACTGCCAAATGGTTTCTGCCCCGGCCTGTATATAAACCAAGGACGTAGGGTCTCTCTCTCTCTCTCTCTCTCTCTCTCTCTCTCTCTCTCTCTCTCTCTCTCTCTCTCTCTCAATCACTCACTCACTCACTCACTCACTCACTCACTCACTCACTCACTCACTCACACACACACACACACACACACACACACACACACACACACACACACACACACACACACACACACACCACACACTCACTCCCACACACACACACTCACTCCCACACACACACGCACACACACACACAGCCCCCACGAACATCGTCACTTCCTCCACGTTAATGTCTGCGCCAAAGCTTAGAGCCTTGTAACACAGGATGTACTGAGTGCCACCCGCCACCACAACACCCAGGGTCAACACCAACACTCGCTACACCAATCACCATACAACATCACCCACAACACCCAGCAGTACCCACGACTCCCAGCAACAGCCCGAGCGAGACCCAGCAACACCCCACTACTCTCACGTCAAAAGCTCTGGAAATGGAGGCAAAATTCTACCGGAGGATGTTTGCTCTGCTGCCTCTGATCCCTCGCTGTCAATGGTGGTACGACCAGGCCAAGGTGTACCTGTGTGAGGCAAGGCGCTCCATCCGGATTATTACTCCCCCCCCCTGGAGGGGTCTAGTTTATTGTGCACCCTATACTCATCCTGTGAGCGGTAGCGCCAAAAAAAATAGGATTACTGAGGACACAAAAGGTCTTTATGAGACTTCGACGGAGATTATTACATTAACAGTTACATCTATCCTGCGCACCTTATAATTATACTGTCAGCTGGTAACAGAGATTGGTCCATTTCAATAGCCATGTATTTACAGTTAATCATTATACATTAATGGCAGGTCTTTTCGCTAATGTTGTTTAAGCTATAGAGGTATTACAGGGCCACAGGAAAGCTGCTGTTTATTATTATTATTAATCTTCACAATACGCTTTTTGCTCTTCACTCTCATATGTCACTTATCTTCTGGAAGCGAAACATGGATACAGTGCAAGGAGTTCATATATTTTATCTTTATTAATAAGATGGCTTGCCATTTCATACAGGGATTTATCTATAAATCGTTCAATTTGATTACAGTCTAAGATATAATGTTCTAGACTGGGAAGGGCGGAGTGTGGAGACGGTGGTGTATTCCTGACTGGAAGTGTTCGTGAGCAGGGGCGAGCGTTGGTGATGTGGAGTGTTGTGGAGTAGGTGGATGTATTACTCTGCCGGAGGAGACTCTGGTGGCTCCGGCGCCGAGTACCCAGATGGGGAACTCGAAGAAAACTTGCGTCCACAATCCCGCCTCTGAACCAGGAGGATGGAACTGCTGCAACCACCAATCAGGAGAAGGCTGAGCTACTGGCAAACCACTTTGCTGCCAAGATGCAGGTCCCTGATCCTGAACGTCAGCCTCCACATCTTGCCCCCAAGCACTGTGTCTAGAGTGACTGAAGTGGTTATACAGCAGGCTGAAGTTCTCCGTCTCCTTAACACGCTAGACAACCAAAGCTGTGGGGCCAGATAAGGTCAGCCCAAGACTACTACGCAGCTGCGCTGACCTGTTGGCTCCACCTCTCACGTGCCTCTTCCAACTCTGCCCAGCTTAAGGAATGTGGCCCTCGTTATGGAAGAAGGCAGATGTTGTTCCAGTACACAGAGAGAAAAGCCGTTCAGTATTTGGAACCTAGAGACTAGTGTCACTGCTCTCCATTACTGGTAAAACTCTCGAAACATTAATATCTCAGCAAATTATATTTTTGATCATCATCGGCAACTATGTGATCGACAGTATGGTCTTAGAAGAGAGCGATATGCTGCTGATTTCCTGCTAAATCTTTCCAGTAAGTGGCATAAGTCACTGGCTGAGTCCATGATCAGCCGTGTTGTTGCTCTCATAGCAGGAGCCTTTGATCGGGTCTGGCAATCTCGATTAATAGTGAAGCTTCAAGCACTAGGCATCTCAGGCTCCATATTAGACCTAATAAAGGACTACGTTCAAGAACGTACTCTAAGAGCAGTCCTCAGTGGAGCAGAATCCAGAAACCACTCAATTGGTGCCAGTGCACCACAGTGCTTGGCCTTCTGATGTGGAATATCTATTTCAACGATCTGCTTCGCCTCATTCCTGGAGCTCAAGCCTATGCTAACAACTGCATGCTAACCTTTATATCTGGACAGGAAGAAATTCCAGCTGCTCCAAGACTCATCAATCATCCACTTTCAGCGATTTCTACCCGGGGAGGGAGACGGTAGGTCACATTGGCGGCTGAGAAAACACAGGCGATGATAACTAGACACACACACACACACATTGCAAGTCGGACAGGCTTGCAAATGGGTGGCCAAAAACAGAGTTCACAGACGAAATTGACATATTGGGCATGATGTTTTACTTTTCTGTGACAATGAAGAGCCACGTGCTTAACCTAGCTCAGAGGCAGCAGACATGGAGAGACAGAGAAAGGCATGGAGAAAGGAAAAAAGAGAGAGACAGAGAGCAATTAAAGCTGCTCCAAATTTGGGAACATTTGCAAAAATATGCTCCGACTCGTCCAATTAAACTACTGAACATCGCCTAACGCAAATAATAATAATAAAACTATATTACAAATAAACAATATATATAACACAACAGAACACCCACAATTAGACAGAAACAAAAGCCATATTAACAACAACAAAAATGTTATAATAACTGAGAGTTTCTGTTTAAACAACAGAGACATTCGTAAAAATCTTCTAGTAAAAGTTTATAACAAAAATTTGACTGTCCATGAAATATGGTAGTTTCATTTTTATTGTCTTTTAAATGGTAAATAACTACGAGGCTGGTGGCCGCCCCGGGAGCTTTACCCGGAGAGTGGGGGGGCCTGGAAAATTTATATATATATATATAATGTGGTTACCTCCATGCAGTATACATGGATACCTGTATGTGGTATACACAAACTATCTTTCTAATAGCAAATTTTGACGTATACTTTACCTAAGATCAACGAATGTTCGAAATTGACATAATGTTCCGTTTTCTGTTCGTGGGGACCTCTGGTTGGTGGTAGGTTAGGATAAGGCACTTTAGAACGACAGTTTCTTGACGAAGGGAACGCTCGCGAGAAACTATATTATACCTTTAGAGGATATATGGACGTCCCACTCCTCCTATATGTAGAAGATTGGGACGTTGTTGTCTACAGTGACTGTTTATAAAGTGGAAGACAAAATGGGCACTTTGGGTTAGAGTGGGCAGAAACACTTTGTTTATAGGTCTGCCTGAGTAATAAATGAGTGGGTTATGAGGGCGGGTTGAAGTGTGTGAGGAAGGAGGCTGGTATTGATCAGCAGGACCGCCAACTGGGTCACAAGTCAAGGCCACCTTCAGGAAGCTCCTTCCACAGGTCGCTGCAGGGGGCGCTGTAGGAGCGTCAGGGAGGGACGCCCCATGTACTCTTGTGGCCCAGACGTGTGTGTGTGTGTGTGTGTGTGTGTGTGTGTGTGTGTGTGTGTGTGTGTGTGTGTGTGTGTGTGTGTGTGTGTGGGTGTGACGTTGTCACAAGCCACCGTTGTGGTGTCTTGTCGCTGTACCGTTGTAACTTTGTCTAGTGTTGTCATATTGCTCGAGGGGTAATGGTGCAGTGTTCTCATACTGCATTGTTTATTTTGCCCTCTGCCGTGTTGTACCTTTGTCACCGGGAGGGCCTACTCAGGTGCCAGAGGTGCAGGGTGCGGTTCCCGGCGCGCCGTGTGTCTGTAGGTCTGTCGCCTCCTGGTCATGGGCAGAGCTTGATCACACACACACACACACACACACACACACACACACACACACACACACACACACACACACACACACACACACACACACACACACACAGTGGAATGGCAGGAAATCGAGCATGGTAATGAGGACTTGTGGACGCGTGGTCCATTGCCAGTGGCTAAAGGACTTCCACCCAGTGCCAGTTGTGTGGGGCGGCGACCCACAGTGTGTACCAACACTGTGCCATGTAGGTCAACAGTATTTCGCGCAGGAATGATTGTTGCGTTTTTACAGGACTGGTCGTCGACCTTTGGCACTGGAGGGCAATGACAGCGCCAATTGGAGGAGACAATGGGTTTATTTACCTGGAGTGTCTGCCTTGGAGCGCTATTTCCAGCAGCTGTTACCCAAGGTTCCGTCCGGGGGTGGCTCCGTTGTCGTCTGTGTTCCATCATAGGTTATTGGACTCGTGGAGCCCAGGTGTAAGGGTCCTTGATAGGTAGTGTGCCAGACAGTTTCTTAATGGCTGACTGACGGTTATGTTCCTGATGCATTATGTCAGGGAGGAAACAAGGAGAAAGGGTGGTGACCAATCAGCTAGGCTAGACCTGGATTGCATATTCCTTGACTGTCAGAGAGCATTTGATACGGTCCAACATGAAAGATTCCTACTCAAACTATACAAGCAAGCTGAGGTATCTGTAAGAGTCCTAAAGTGGATCAGAGAGTATCTCTCGGGGTTACAGTGAGAGAGTTACAGAAGCAAAGGGTTACAGTGAGAGCAGAGACATCAGAGTGGAGAGAAGTTACGAGCAGAGTTCCACAGAGGTTGGTTCTTGCACCCATACTGTTTCTAATATATGTCAATGATCTGACAAGAAAAATTGGCTCCTTCATATCAGTGTTTGCATTGATTCATGAAAAGTGAAAAAAATTGAAAAATGTTAAGATTCAGGACAAGGGTAGATTGTGATGCATTGCAAACGGATTTGGACATACTCCAAAAGCGGTCTGAAAAATCGCTGCTAGAGTTTAAACCAGCCAAATGCAAAGTTATGAGCACCGGAACAGGAGTGTGAGGACCAGTACAGGATGAAGGGAAGACAAATTCTTCAATCAGAAAAGGAGAAAGACTTGGGAACGGACATAACCCCGAATGTGATGTCAGAAGCCCACATTAGAAGAATAACAGCTGAAAATGGCATGCTGGCCAACGTCCCTCTATCCTTTAGAAACTTGGACAAAAAGGCTTTCCGGACCCTATATACAGCGAAGGTGAGACCCACGCTGGAATATGCATCCCCAGCATGGAACACCTACCTGAGAAAGAACTGTACGGAAATTCTACCGATGGTATATTAATTATAATTTTATTTAAATAGACAATAGATTGTTTATTATTCAAACACCTCTCAGAAAGTGGACTGTATGAATTTATACTTATTTCACCAGTAAAATTGCCTTCACATAACTTGGTTGGGTTTATTTTCTCAGACAGTAATTAAACGGTCGACTTGATATTGAATTCAATTACACTAGGTTATTGTAATTCTACATGTGGTTAATTACCGTACAAGACGGGTTGAGCAACTTTACCAGATAACCAATCTGTGAGTAATATGGCCATGAAACAAAACAAATTAAAATGGTTAACCGGGTAATGTGTACTTGCCTCTGTGTCGCCAAGTTGTGGCAGTAAAGAGCAACTCTTGTATTGGAAGGTCACACTGCGGCCTTCACTCGCGGGAAGTAATGTTGTCATCGTCAGACCAGGGGCCAGATTCACGGAAGCACTTCCGAACGTGTACATCTTTCCTCAATCTTTGACGGCTTTGGTTACATTTATTAAACAGTTTACAAGCATGAAAATTTCCCAATCAACTGTTGTTATTGCTATAAACAGCCTCCTGGTGCTTCGGAGCTCATTGCCTGTTAATTTATTGGAAACAAAGCCGCCAAAGATTGAGAAAAGATGTACAGGTTCGTAAGTGCTTGCGTAAGTGCCTTCGTGAATCTGGCCCAAGACTCTGTACCAGCAACACAATCCACAATGGCGCCTCCCTGCCCGCTTCGGGGTGTCCTGCCCTTATGCGTTTTCCATTAAGAATAGGAAGGAGCAGTTTGTTTTAAATTCATGTCATAAATGACTATTCAGTTAATTTAGGGAACTAGTTTCATTCTATTTTCAGCCCCTGAGAGTGATGATTTAAGTGTAAGGTTAGTTAGATAGGTTGTTTGGAGTGAGAAGCTGAGTACACGGGAGCTGGTCGGCCGAGCGGACAGCACACTGGACTTGTGATCCTGTGGTCCCGGGTTCGATCCCAGGCGCCGGCGAGAAACAATGGGCAGAGTTTCTTTCACCCTATGCCCCTGTTACCTAGCAGTAAAATAGGTACGTGGGTGTTAGTCAGCTGTCACGGGCTGCTTCCTTAGGGGTGGAGGCCTGGTCGAGGACCGGGCCGCGAGGACACTAAAGCCCCGAAATCATCTCAAGATATCTCAAGATAACCTACACTGTAAACATTAATTCCGTTTTCTGGAACAAAATAGACACGTACGCTATCTCTTTTATGACTAATTTTAATTTAATACTCAACACAAAACAGCAATGATTTTATTTGCATATTCCATTGTGACGGTAACGCGTTGGTGTTCGGCTGTTTAAGGCTAGGGGTATGGCCTCGTCACATAGTTATAAAAAAAAATAGAAAAACTGGAACTTCGTCTGTGGTAAGGTAAGGAGAAGACACACAAAACACAAGTAAAACTTTAACAATGAAATTTTAATTACGTTAAATAAATCAAAACATGAAAATATGGACAAACAAATATGTATAATAAAATCAATGAATCAAAATAATAAGAATACTTAAATGACACAATGAAAAGTTACGTTAAGGCAAAATAACAAGAAGTGCAATACAACAGTAAGTGGGAGGTGCTGGAATATTGGCTTAAAGCCACCACCTCTCTCAGTACACTCTAGAGTCTAGCTGGGAGGTGTGCTGGCTACGAAAGCACGGAACATTCTGAAGACTGATGTTGGGGCGACCCCAGACATCGGGTAGTATTGGGGGGCGAGTGCAGGTGCAGCCAGACCGGCGACCAATCAGCGGAGCCGTAGCGATCAACGGGTAGTTTGGTGATTTGGGTCCGAACAGGTGGCGGGCTGCATACGTTTCTGCTCACCCTTGCAAGCCTTGCTGGTGTTGTTGTCGTTGTTGGACATTTCTTCCATAGTCTTTTATATAATTGTGAAGACGTAATTTTGGAGGGAAGAGCAGGCTCAATCTCTTGAAGGAGATTATCGTCACAACTCTCCCCCGAAG